TCTACTCTGATTCTGACTCTGAGACTCCTAGCCTGTGGTGCTTCTTAGCAGAGTGTGGCTGCAAGCTACAGGATGGGGACCACGACGGTATCCCTATGTCAGCTGGTGCTCCATTCAAAATCCAAGAAAGAAAGACTCCGTTAATTAGAGAACAGATATCTTTTACTGGAAATCAAGTGGTAGCATCAAAGGAATTCTGAATCTGAGAAAATGACCTCGTAACTCACATATACAAAGTGATGGCAATGTTCCCACCCACAATAGTTCAAACTATCCATCCAATTTAAATGTGTATGTAATGTCATGTGGGCATCTTCAGATGGTGATGAGGTATCTGTCCGTTGACCTTGGCCTATTTTGATAAAGAGGTGCGCTTGCGCATAGCATAAGAAAGAAGCATAAACAAGAAACTTCCTCTCCCCCCAACTTATAGAGTTTATTCTCTCAAACTTTCAGCTCGCTTCCCATAACTATTCCCCCCTCCTTCCCCCCGTTACTTATGACAGCCGAAAGATGCAAAGCAAAGGAAAGAAATCTTGAAGGCTAATTCTGACTGAGATGGGCCAAGCCATCCGGAAAGCTGTGGTGGGGTGAACTGGTGTCCTTCCCCCAAACTACAGCAATGGCTGAACATCGCAGCGGATTCTTTTGGACGCTGTGGAATTTTCCAAATTGTGTCAGAGCAATTGACGGAAAACATGTACGAATTAGAGCCCCACCTTGGTTGTGGCAGCGAATATTTTAAAGTACAGAGGACATCATTCCGTAGTGCTGATGGTCATGTGTAATGATGCCCAGTACAAATTCACTGTGGTTGACATGGGTACATATGGACAAGGGAGCGATGGCGGTGTCAGGGCTCCAGTTGTTACCCCCATTTAAATCATGAGTCTCTAGCCGGATTTTCAAAGCTAAAAAGAAGATTTATTAGGCGTAAACATGCCGGTGCTGCCTGGGTGTAGTCGACTCTGAGACACATCATTCATATTCTCCAATGGGACACATCCATAGCCCAGAGTCATCAATCATGCTCTCCAGTTAGAATTTTGAGCGACAGAAATTTCAGTCACCTAGTTACTATCTTTGAAAACATTTATGGAATGCACTTTTGGTTTTGCAAGCTGCCGCACTGCTCCCCTCTCCCTTTCTGTTGGCAACTCTAAAAAGACCATAGAAATATTTTATGAGTTGACAGGCGGTGTTTTTCAAGAGAGGCACCTTGACAGAGTCCTGCTCAAAGGCAAAACTGGACTTTCCACCACCTGGTGATCTTCCGGGGACAAAATTTAAATGCCACATATCGCCGTTGGTGTTACAGCCTTTCCTCTCTGCACGTGAACCTCAGGAAGCCATTCCAAAGGTGGGTTTATTAAACTGCATGTTTGCTAACGCAGGTAGTCCTTGACTTATGACCACTTGACTATTCAACGTTACGACAACACTGGAAAGAATGACCAATGACTGTTTTTTTTCTTTCACATAACCATTGTGGCATCCCGAGGGTCACATGATCAAAATTCAGATGCTTGGCAGCTGGTTCGTATTTACGATGGTTTGCAGTGTCCCGGGGGGGAGGGCACGTGATCCCCTTTTGCGACCTTCTGACAAGCAAAGTCAATGGGGAAGCCAAGTTTCACTTTACAACCGTGGTACTAACTTAATTTCAGCGGTTCGCTTAACAGCTGTGGCAAAGGGTCGTGAAATGGGGCAGAATAGAATAGAATAGGAATTCTTTATTGGCCAAGTGTGATTGGACACACAAGGAATTTGTCTTGGTGCAAATGCTCTCAGTGTACATAAAGAAAAAAATACATTCATCAATACATTCATACAATACTTAGTCATAGGATACTAATAAGCAATCAGATCATACATAGGTTTGTAATAAGCAATCAGACCATACATAGGTTAGTAATAAGCAATCAGATCATACATAGGTTACTAATAAGCGATCAGATCATACTAGGGAACAAATAAAACAATATAAATTATAAAGATACAAGCAATACGGTTATAGTTATAAGTGGGAAGAGATAGGTAATAGGAAGGATGAGGAGAAGAAGAATAGTAATACAGCCTTACTACTTACTCACTTAATGACAGTCTTGCTTAGCAACATAAATTTTAAGCTCAATTGTGGTCATAAGTCCAGGGTTACCTATATGTCACTTTATGTTTAAGCCACAAATTTTTTTGAATGCTGATACCAAAATTGAGGGCGATCAATGCTGAAATCATCTCTTCATCTAATACTTTGAGTAATAATACTGTTCAATTTTTTTCTCCTCCAGATTCCAGTCTCGAGAGGCGGGCTCACTTTGTATAACTACTGTCACTCGAGAGCCAAGTCGGACCATAGAGAGTTTCTTTGGCTACAAGATGGCGGATTCTTGGACGGCCCAAGGACTTTCTTCCAAATAAAAGTCACGGATACTGTCAAGGCATGTGTTACTCTTCGCAATTATCTCATCAATACCGATGCCACCAACATACTGATAGCAAGATACGCACCACCAAAATTTGTAAAACACTGTTTCAGTATCTGCTGGGATACAGGAGGGAGAACGGAGGAAGCAGTTGGTCTTGACTTCCATTGACCACCAGACCATCACATGCGGCTGCAGGAATCTGCAAGGATCTGGTGCAGTTTTTCCAGGCTCCAGCAGGGAAGGCGCCCTGGCAGAATGCAGTGTTGAGGTGTGGCCTACTACACCAAAGTGTAAATGTAGCAGAGAATTGACACTGCCTAAACTACGTACCCACACAACTTAAATGTCACTGTCAATAAATTTTCGAACAGAAATATCTTGGTCAGTGTTTTGTCTTGAATATAAACCAAGTTTTGCTTTACCTTTTTCTACATATAAAAATGTTAGAGATTTTTTTTTAACCAAAAGCCAGAAATCATCTATAAACCAACAGGTAATTTAAATAACAGTTGTAACAACAAGTAATGCTGACTAAAACTAACAAAATTCTAATCTACATTCCTTTTCATAGCAAAAAAACTTCGCAAATACCTTATCACAGGTGGATAGAGTAATTTATTTTGGCCTTCATTTAGTACTATTGTAGTGTAATATAAATAGAATAGAATACTTCATTGGCCAAATGTGATTAGACACACAAGGAATTTGTCTCCAGTGCATAAGCTATCAGTGTACATGCAAAACAATAATAATAATCAGAATAATAACATAATCATAATAATGATGCCAACAAGAGAACAAGGTGGAACAAATGAGAAAGATAAAAATACAGCCATACCACATGGGTAAATCTATTTAGGCATAAGACAGTGCTGTGGGAATTAGGTGTTAGCAGAGTGATGGCACGAGGGGGAAAAAATGATTTTGTGCCCAGTTGTTTTTGCATGCAATGCCCTATGGTGGTGTGACGAGGGGAGGAGTTGAAACAGTTCTATGTCCAGGATGCGAAGGGTGTCTGTAGATACTTCCTCAGTCCTCCTTCGTGCATGCAATATATGAGGCTCTTGGTGGAAAGCAGGCTAGTTACGATGGTTTTTTCTGCAATCCTAACTATCCGTTGAAGTCTCTACCTGTACCAAACCAGACAGTTGTAGAAGTGCAATGTATAGATGTAAAAAAAAAAAGGAGTGCAAAATATAAATCATTTCAAACCGTCAGAACAAAATGTATCAAACTCAAAAATACAAAACATAAATGCAAAATGGATTTCCCAGCAGTAAAAAATGAAACCGTTTTGTTGAATGGTCAGAACTATTGGGAGTGAGCATCAGCAAGCACTGGGAAGAATTAGGGATTTTGTTACTTCTACCCTTTCTGGTGGAAGTTGCCGCAAAGAGATTGCAACAACAATGCTGAAGTTGCACACTCGTGATTGTGACACCATTGCAGCTTGAAGCTGCTCCTGGCCTGATGCGGTGGTGGGATTCAAAATTTTTTTTACTACCGGTTCTGTGGGTGTGGCTTGATGGATGTGGTGTGGCTTGGTGGGCATGGCAGGGGAGGGATACTGTAAAATCTCCATTCCCTCTCCAGTCCTGGGGGAAGAATCCCCATTCCCTCCTCACCCCACTAACCTGCTTTCCAGCTCCATTCTCCTGTGCAGGGCAACAAAAGAAGTCCCAGCCAATCAGCTGGGACTCAGGAGGCAGAGAATAGATGAGCGGGGGGCAGTCAAAGGGGTATTTGCTGGATCTCCGAACTACTCAAAATTTCTGCTACCGGTTCTCCAGAACTGGTCAGAATCTGCTGAATACCCACCTCTGGCCTGGTGCAGAGTGACAATAGTGTCCAGTACCTCATCCTTTCCTGTCTCCTTCCTTCTTTTTCTTGACTGAGGGGCTGCTGCCTTTATGAGTAACACAGTGGCTACACTGGTTGACCCTTCCTTCTCATCACTGCTGTGCAGTGGGAAGACACCTGAATCCCCGGGATGTGAAGTGTGGTGTGGATGTAATGCCCTCTGTATCCAAGGTTGAATCCAAGGAATTTTGCTCTGCAGGACTTGGAGTGAGATCCTCGGGCTGTAATGATATGGTTTGTGCAAAGGGTTATCCAAGCAGACAGACACGCTGTCAGGATTCCGGCAGTTACCCCTAATTAAATTATGAGTCTCAAGCCAAACTTCCAAAACTTCAAAAGGATTTATTGGGAGTTAACATATCCAGCACTGCCTGGGTGTAGTCGACTCTGAGACACATCATTCATTATCACCCTTGACCCTGGTTTTCCCCCACCCCCTGGGTGTATCATAATTCATATTCTCCAATGAGTCACATCCATAACCCAGAGTCATCAATCATGTTCTCCAGTTAGAATTTTGCACGGCAGGAACTTCAGTCACCTAGTTACTATCTTTGAAAAACGATTTATGGAATGCACTTTTGATTTCCAAGCTGTCGCACTGCTCTTTCAAACCCCTTTCTCCCCTCCCTTTCTGTTGGCAACTCTGAAAAGACAATAGAAATATTTTTATGAGTTGACACGCATATTTAACAGACATAACCCCTTTAAACATAATAGAATCCCTTGGTAAACATAATACAATGCCTTTGTGAGGCCACACTTGGAATACTGCATCCAGTTTTGGTCGCCACGGTTAAAAAAGATGTTGAGACTCTAGAAAAAGTGCAGAGAAGAGCAACAAAGATAATTAGGGGACTAGAGAGGCTAAAATATAAAGAACGGCTGCAGGAACTGGGTATATCTAGTCTAATGAAAAGAAGGACCAGGGGAGAAATGATAGCAGTGTTCCAATATCTCAGGGGCTGCCCCAAAGAAGAGGGAGTCAAGCTATTCTCCAAAGCATCTGAGGGCAGGACAAGAAGCAACGGATGGAAATTAACCAAGGAGAGAAGCAACCTAGATACAAGGAGAAATTTCCTAACAGAACAATTAATCCTACCTCCAGAAGTTGTGAATGCTCCAACGCTAGAAGTTTTAAGGAATACGTTGGACAATGATTTGTCTGAAATGGTATAGGTTTCCTGCCTGAGCAGGAGGTTGGGCTAGAAGACCTTCAAGATCCCTTCTAACTCAGGTATTCTGTTCTGTTCTATTCACACCAATGTAAACAGCATAAAAATGTAAATCAAGTTTATTTGGTCTCTTTTTTCCTCCAGAGGTCTTCCAATTCCCATCCACGATTGGGCTGTTTCCTCCTGCTTTTTGTAATATTTTATCAAGTACATCATAGAAATCTCATTTTGTCGGCAAGTCTAGAAGCTCCATTTTGTTGTTTGAAGGTGCCTTGCCTTCCTCCCGCCTCCCAACAGAAAGCCAACCAATCAGAATGCAGCACATGCATTCTCCACATAACACATAGTTAAGACTTGGGAAGGGTTGTGTGTTGGCCCACCTGCATCCATTTGCAACCTTCCGCTTACCCATCAATCCCTTCACCGCGTTGGTATGCCTTTGACAACTATGGGCAGTTGTGGAGAAGTCTAACTCTAGCTTGAGAAGGAACCAAGTAATAATGCAGCCAGGCTTTCAGGAGTTTATTATTATTATTATTATTATTATTATTATTATTATTATTATTATTATTATT